ATGTTTTCTTTTTTCTTTTCTTTGAATGTAAATTTTTATTGATTCTTTGGGAATTTCACATCATGCACCCCAATCCCACTCACCTCCCAGTCCCTCTGTATCTGCCCTTCACCCTTGTAGCATCTCTTCAAAGGAAAATTTAAAAAAATAATAAAATAAAAAATAAAAATATTAATTAAAACAAAAACAATAATAAAAGCAAAACAAAAACAATCAAACCACCACAACAAAAAAACCACCTCTGCTCCTCTGTCTCTCTTGTCTCTCCATTACCTCTTCATTCATCTTAGTGGCACTAAGAGCTGTGATGTGTTGCACAGTAAACCCTTTTACACAAACAGCTTTACTTGCAAATAGTCATTGTGTAATGAATCACTGGTCTAGTTCAAGGCCTCTGGCTTCTGATACACCATCACCACTGGACCCTCATCAAAACTCCTCTCAGATAACCTGCTGTTGCCCCTAGTCATGGAGGTCCCGTGGCTGTGGTTCCACAGAACCAGTCCCTTTATGCACTTCAGCAGGTCATAGATGGGGTAGATGTTGGGGTGGACCAACTCAAAGCCCTGGATGTGTGCCTGGGTGGTAGCTGAGTTGGTCAGTCAGGGCTCTGAGACCATCCCCTTCAGGCAAGGAGCAGAGCCTTCTCTCCCAAAACTGTGCTTAGGGGTGGACCCAGCTCTCTTGAGTTGTGGGGACAGCTCTCCTATGAGGGGCAGGAACAGCCCAGCATGGCCTTTGGATTTCAACCCCTGTGGTAACATGGGCAACGGACATCAACACAGACCCCCGCTTCAGCAGGATCAGAGACCCAGACATGGCCTTTGGCAGTAGCTTGGGCCCATTTGTCACCATGGCCCTAGTGGTAGCACAGGCCACCCAGATCAGCAAGGCCCTGGGGGCAGCATGGACCTCGAACAACAACATGGACTCAAGTGGCACCCAGCCCCCAGGCATCCACATGATCTTCAACGGTAACAGGAGCCACGGACATCAACACAGACCCCAGCTGTGGTATGGCCACAGACCCAGACATGGCCCTTGGTAGCAGCCCAGGCCTGGATGTCATGAAGCAGGCAACCCAAAAGAATTTTCTTATAGACAAGAAACACATGTTCCTCATTCTAAGACACAGTCCTTACATAGCTTAGCTTCAAGTCTGTTCTTCCCTGGCAGGAAGGACAGGCACTGTGGGGACCACCTGCTGGAAGTAGATGTCCTAACTTTTCACTGGTCTTTCTTTAGGCACACCAGTACACATGGCTCCCAACCCTTCCTACCTACCACACACACTACCCTGCATCTGAGGCTGCCTGGGAATGTCCTGGCTCCCACTTCTGAGTTTAGAAGACCCCTTCACCTCTGACTAGCTGTGTGACCTTCCCAAGAAACTAATGCATGCCTTAACTTTCTTCACTTGTTAACTAGTGATTAAAATATATGTCATGGCTACTTATTATGAGAATCACATAAATTATTATGAAGTTATGCAGTACAATACCAAATGGATTCTATGTATTTGTAAGATATTTAATAACCTACTGAACCCTTGGACTTGTTCTTTAACATGAAATATCATATGGTTATCTTTAGGAACCCATGGACCTTCTTCCCCATCCCCTGTATAATCATTCTATGTTTATTTAAGAGCTTTAAGTCTCACCCACTTCTCCTTGGTGATCAGCATAGGATCAGGGAAGAGTGAGCAGTGACTTCAGCTCAGCCAGGTTCAGCTGTGTTAGAGTAAAGATGGCACCCTGGGAATCAGGGTGGCTGTTCCACTTCTTCCACACATTCCCTCATCCTGCAATAGCTCACTCAGTACAGCAGGATGTACATGTGCTCCTGAGATGTTTAAAGTCCCTGGATGCCTTTTCTAGTGTCTAGCTTCTTATAGTCAGGCTGACACATGAAAGCAAACCATCATGTTAGGAGGACATGGCAGCGCCTGGTAGTTGAGAGACTTTGGCAGCTCTTCTCCAAATCTGGCCTCTGGCACAGTATGAGCCAGGTGAGGCCACTGTCTCTCTACCTAAAGAACTGACTTCCTGGAACTTGGCTCTGTCCAGCTAAGCCTATTCTCCATTACATGTGTTTTCTTCAGAAATTGTGGGGTCCATTTTTTAATGAAATAATGGATTTTAAAGTATCTTAAAAGTTTTGAAGTGCTTTATGAATGATTATTTACTTAAGATGGGTTTACAGTCAGAACCTAGAAGATGCTAGTCTGTTTAGATCCTAGCAAAACATCTGAGATTTTTATTTTCTTCACTCAACTGCCATTTACTGAATCCTCAAAGTATTGAATTAAGTATTTGGGTACAATACTAAACATGAAGATGAAGCCTTGTTTTTGGAGAGTCTTGTGAGGGAGGTGGATAATAAGCTAGTAAAGAAACAGATAAAACAGTTAACAGTGTACTGAATGATCTCAAGGAAAGAAGAAGCCCATTAAGGAGATGATATTGGAAGTAAGACTTGGCCAGGTATGGTAGTGCAGGCATACAATCCACTTGTGAGTTTGAGGCCATTCTGTGCTACATAGTGAGTTGGGGGTATGCAGTGGGGTAGGTTACTTGAAGAACAAATGGGATCCAATCCATTGTGCAAAGTTCAAGGGAAAGAGTGTTCCAGGTAGAAGGATTCTAAGTTCAAGATTCCTGAGGCAAAAAAGAAATTTGGCATGCTCACAGAACATAAAGAAACTATATAATTAGAACACAGTGATACACAGAGGATGGCTCACTAATGATAAACAAGGGCCACATTGCACAGTCTTATAGGCCATGGCAGGGGATTAGGATGTTATCTTGTGTGTGATGGAGAGGGAGAAAATGTTTAACATGTCTGATCCCTCTTACTCCGTGGAAAGTATACTTGACATGTAGATGAGCAAGCAAGAGCAAAATCAGGGAGACAAATCAGATAACATTTGTAGTGATCTAGGCAAGAAATTATGACTCATGGTTTTCAGGGGAAGAATAGGTGGTAAGATATATAGTTGACTATTTTTATTGAATTTTGCAAAAAAACCCATTTAAATATAATATATTAATTAATTCTTTGATAATTTCACATATGCATGCATGCAATGTATTTTTATTATTTTCACTCCTACTCCTCCAAACTCCTCAGCCCAATCCAAGACCCACTCCCTACCTACCTCCTCATGTCCTTTAAAAATTATTATAACCCACCAAGTCCATTTTGTACTGCCCATGTGCTCGTGGATATGGGGCCATCACTGGAGCATGAATGACCTACTAGGAACCACACCCATAAAGAAAACTGGCATTCTCTCCCCTAGATACCATCAACTATCAATAGCTCTCTAACTAGGGATGTAGCTCATGACCCTAAGCACTAGCCCCCTGCCACACACACTACAGCTGGAATATTGATTGGATTGATCTTATGCAGATAGAGTGAGTGCAGTAGTCTTGTCTAGTCCTGATGATAAGGTTTCCTTCCAGTATTCCCTGAGCCCTGGCTCTTATAACCTTTCTGGACCATCTTCTGTGTGGTTCCTGAGCCTTGAGGGCAGGGAGTATAATATAGATGTATCATTTGTGGCCGAGCACTCTCCAGACACTTGTGTTCTGCACACTGACAATTTGTAAATTCACTGTCTTCTACTGCACTAAGAAACTACTCTGGTGATGTCTGAGAGATGCATTAATGGTTGGGTATAGAGATATCAGTTTGGAGAGAAGTTTGAATCTATATCCATTTAGCAAAATAATCATTGATTTACCCCTGTGGCCTGTGAGCTCCCTAACAATGGGTTCTTGGCCATATTTATAGAGATCTACCAAAAAGTCCCAAATTAGAACTGATGACCTACTTTTCCTGAAATGACCAGTAGTGCCAACCTCCTGAACGTGGTCACAATGATGATTCCAAGGGGCTAAGGTCATCTGGAAGATGACACACTTAAAGGCCAGGTGGAAGAAGCTTATACCACTCCTGTCTATATCCCACCAGGCAAAAACAAGTCAGTGCATGCAGCTTAACCACAAAGGAGACTATGAAGTGTAGTTCCACATGCAATGAGAAAGAGTGAACTGCAATAGAATTGGAGGAGCACAGATCATGATCTCTGCCACACTGTCAGAGGAGAAACTGGAGAACCACACAGAAACAGAGATGGGGGAGAAGGCATCTTCAAGGAGGAGGAACTGATCAATGCTGTCATACTGCAGAAGATGAAGTAACACACCCACATAAAAGAGTGCAGGGATTTTCGTTTAGGAGCTCCCTGGTAGCATTATCAAGAACAGATTATGTTGTTCAGTGAGAGTGGGAGTGAGAAAGTAAATAGGAAAAATACAGACTGTTCTGTAGGAGAAGCTGAGGATGAGATGGTGGGAAAGATAACAAGGTATCCAGAGGTTAACTAGTTGGAGATATTTGTTTATTATTAAGACAGGATCTTATTATGTAGCCCTGGCTGGCCTGGAACTGCTATAAAGACTAAGCTGGTCTCAGAGACACAGAGAGCTGCCTGCCTCTGCCTCCAGAGTGCTGAGCATACACACCATGCCTGATCATGAGATTTAAAAATAGTAATAAGCAAGATAAATATAAGTTAAGACTAAGGGGCTAGTTATGAAGAAAAAGTTAAAGATTATGAGATGATTGAGGCATCTAGAAGCTAGGATAGAATGTGATCAAAATACAGTGATTATATTACTCATGGAAAGGAGAAAGAACACAGCTTCTTCTAAGAAAATTCTACAATTAAGGGACAGGTAATGGATAAAGTTCATGTCTGTGTTTATTTCTCCAAAAGAGTTCAGGCCTGTGTTCCATTTTTGCTCTAGGATTTTCTGAGTGAAACTCTTCTGTCATAGACCATGGTATCATAGCAGAGATGGGAAGATATTCTCTACTGGTATTAGATCTGAAGGGAAGCAGTGTTCTTTAGGTGTGGTAAGTCTTCTAGAAAGAAGACAGCTTGTGTTCGTGAATAATCTGTTCTTTTTCTCCTGTCTGGCTAGGCTGTGACAACATGCTGATGAGTATAAAGTCTCTGAAAATAGTGAAGAAGACCATGGACCCAGATGGCTCTTGGATGAAAGATGCTGGTGGTAACTCTGCAAAAGTGTATTTATTAATTGGATCTAGACACAACACAGTTTGGGAATTTGCAAACTTGCGGGCATTCATGGAAGATAGCAGCAAGCCTGGCCCCCGGAAGCTAATCTTACCACTTTCCTGGCAGGGATCAGGGCAAGTGATCTACAAAAACTTTCTATTTTTTCACAATCAAGGAACTTCTAATGAGATAATTAAATACAATCTGCAGAAGAAGACTGTGGAGGATCGAATGCTTCTCCCAGGAGGGGCAGGCCGAGCACCCATCTATCAACACTCCCTGTCCACTTACATTGACCTTGCTGTGGATGAACATGGGCTCTGGGCCATCCACTCAGGACCGGGTATCCAAGGCCATTTGGTTCTCACGAAAATTGAGCCAGACACTTTGGGGGTAGAGCATTCATGGGACACACCGTGTAGAAGCCAGGATGCTGAAGCTTCATTCCTCCTATGTGGGGTCCTCTATGTGGTCTACAGTTCCGGTGGCCAGGGCCCTCATCGTATCACCTGTGTCTATGATCCACTGGGCACTGTTAGGGAAGAGCATCTGCCCAATTTGTTCTTCCCCAGGAGGCCTAGAAGTCACTCCATGATCCATTACAACCCTAGAGATAAGCAGCTGTATGCCTGGAATGATGGCAATCAGATCATTTACAAACTCCAGACAAAGAAAAGGCTGCCTCTGGAGTAATGGACGGCAGCTTGGAGGGGGAGTTGTGTGGCTTGGGTAGTGGTTTTCCAGAACACTGAGGTCACACACAGCCTCTTTACAGTGTAGTACCCCTCTAGATGCACACAAAAATAGAATGTAAAAGTTTAAATACATAATATTCCTTTCCCAAATGTCATTGCCTTAGGTATCATTTGAGAGCATAGATGAGGCCATCGTTCCAAAGTTTTGACCAATACCCCATCTTCATCCAAATCTGATGGGGCTTAAGGCCTCCTCCATCTGATCTTAGTCCCAATCTTTCCTTATTCCAGCATTTTCTCTGACTTTATTCCTCTTACAGCAATTAGGATATTGCCACCTCTGATACTCACTGATTTCTTCTTTGGCTTTCACTCAGACTCTGTCCTCTTTTTCAAATGCTTATAAATAATTTTTCATTGACCAACTTTATTAGTTACTTTTCTTGTTGCTATGATCAAATACCTAGCAAGAGACAACTTAAGAGAAAAAAGGTTTGTGCTGGCATATAGTTTTAAGAGGAGCCAGGCACAGTGGTGCATGCCTTCAGTCCCAGTGCTCAGGAAGCAGAGGCAGGTGGATCTCTGTGAGTTAAAGATTAACCTGATCTACATTGTAAGTTCCAGGCCAACCAAGGCTACAAGAGTGAAACCTTATCTTAAAAAAAAAATGGATATAGTCCATCATGGTAGTAGTGAAAGGGTGGTAGCGGTGGCATGAGACAGCTGTTCATATTACATCTGCAATCCAGAAGCAAGGAGCAGACCAGAAGTGAGGCTGCACTAAGAAACCTCAAGGCTTACCCTTATAGTAACTCACCTCCTCAAGTTAGGTCTCACTTCAAGGCCTGCACCCAGCTGGGAACCAAATGTTCAAGCACACGAGCCTATTCGGCACATTTCACATTGAGACCATAACACTCAGGAAGCACTATTTCTTGTTGATGTTTAATTTTTATTTCCTCTAGCCTTGCCCTTTGCTAAGCCAAGTGGATACAGTAACAAAATAAAAGCATGAATAGTTGGATGTTACTTCCTAGTTACAAGGCCTTTTAACATTGTTTAATTCTCTTTTTACCTTTGTAGGTACATACAAATCTTTATAGTCGCTAAGCCAGAGAAACTACAAAATGAAAGAGCTAGAAAAGATCACAAATATCATAGTCATTCCATCATCCAAGGAAGGAAGTATCAATTATATACTTTTGCCCACCTATCCTTAATCATTATGTCCACCAGTTCAGCCTAAAAATAATAGTTTGCCCTTAGGCAGTTCTCATGTCTGCACAAGGTCTTCTTGTAGGTCTTTCAAAATCAGCTTTCTCCAGAAAACCAGCCCAAGGGTAAGGACAAAACTCTAGCCTCATCTTGTCTTTCTGTTGCCTGATTCTTTCTTCTTGATTTAAATATAATAAAAGTGATATTAAGCAAATAACCTCATCAGATTATATTTGCCTATATCCCCCCAGCACGAAAGCTTTCCAATATTATCTGTGTTGGGCTTACTGTAAACATTCCCTAACACACGAAGGCCCTTGGTAAATACACTAGTCTGGATGGAAGCCAGGTAGCAGACAAGCAGCTTTGCCACAGCAGGCTTGCGGGGCATTACAGAGGGTAGTTGAGAGGGACATCTGCAAAGTGTTTCTCACATGTGTGTCCCATTTGGCTGAGTCCAGGTCACAAGTGAGACTGCAGTGCCAGCCTCAGTCATGTGCTGAGGTCCCTGCCTTTCCAGGTTGGTCACATGAGAAGGCTTGCTTTGTATCCTTGCAGCTGTTAATCTGTCTTTGCCAAGTCCAGGCTGGGACCACAGGCAGTGAAGAGAAATCCCTACCACCACCATATATCATCTGAGTAAATCTTTGGCAGAAAGGAATGACCCACAGTTCTGATGAAATGGCCCCAAGAGCCCAAACCTTTTACAGAATAATGAATGAATAAACATGATGTAACTGCTCCATGAATCCAGGAATCAATACCTGCTCTATGGGTAAAGTACATTACCTACCTTTCTGACAAAGAAAGTGACCTACTCACATTGAAGGGTGCAGGAGCATTATCAAAGGAGTGAGTCCTGTATACATGGCTCCTTTGAAGTCAGGAGAATAGTTTGCTTGTAGTGTGCTGTCTGGCTTCTATCTGGGAAGTGCTTGGAATGGAAAACTCTGCAGGATACACCTATATACTCCCAAACTGCTCACCCTGGTACACAGAACCCCCACAGGTAGAATATCTCTTTTAGGTGAAGAAATGTTCTTCAGGAAGAACCTGTTCATTGCTACGTTTCCTAACAGCATGCAGGTCATGGGACATCTGCTTCGGTATCTTTCACATGTCTGCTTTTCAGCTCTAGTCTGGCTGGATTTTAAATGAGGATTGATGATGTCTCCATGACCCACATCAATGGTTATTATATTGTAGTACATAAGAATCACCTGAGGAGCTTTAAGAATTCCAATATTCAGGCTATACTCTCCAATACTGTTGAATCAGACCCTCTGGAGTGGGAGGAAAGCATCTGTATTTTTAAAGCTCCTTCCCAAACTGCACATAAGCTTGAGAAAGCCAATTTCATACAACATTTTGCAAAATAATTGTATACTTCTGAGAAAATACTAGCGGTTTCTGGGGGCCTGGGCAAGAAACTGGGCACCCCTAGGTCCAGTGGGATTTGGAACTGCCCACTAACGCACAGGAACTCATGTGAACTGCACAGGCTCTGGCTCCAAAGGCCTCTCCGCTATTTTAAGGAAGTGAAAAAACCAAAGGGTGTCCTGCTGTGACACAAGTCTCATGGGCCTCAGCTTTTCGATGCTGGCTTTGCCTTTGCTCTGCTGCTGGCTAGGTCCCAGCAGTGCTCAATCACCTGTTTGCCAGAGTGCTTATGTTCTGTTCACACGTGCAATCCTCTGGCCACCCCAGTAATTTTAGACTACCAGGATTTGAAAAAAAAAAAAAAAAGTCGTGTCCTGTAGTATCTGTCAAGACTCGAGTGTAAGCAACTGAAGTCCAGTTTAGTAGTAACTCCTGCCAGAGTCCCTGGTGTCACTGTCATCTGAGGTCCTGGGGATTTTAAGCAGCTAAACTGAGCAGCCGGCCCTTGGAGGCCCCAGTAGGGCAAGCACCTATGATGCAGACCTGCACACTGGAAGTAGGTGCTGGGACTCGGTCTCCAGGGCACAGTCCTTTGGGATTTGAAAATCCAGCCCCTATGGGCAGACACCGCCACAGTTTTCTTTGGCTTACTTGTACCTGACCTCTCTGGACACAGGAAGTGTTATTCACAAGGCAGGGCACCAGAGCTTTTCGTACGTTGTCAGCCACTAGAGGTCACGAGAGGTCGCGGGGGTTGGAGCGCAGTCAGACCTTAGGGTGAAGCGGAGCCCGCCAAAATGAGGGTGGTCTAGTCTGAAACAAGGAATGATGCAGCCCTTAAGCCACCCTCAATCTCAATGGGATCACACACGGCTCGGGGTGTGTGTGGGTGTATGTGTGTGGTTTTCGGTGCTCCTCTCTGCAATTCTCCGCACAAGTATCCTGCTTCCACGCTGTCATTTTCCACGTCCCGGTAGCAATAGTGACAGACTGCAGAAGCTCAGGAGGCCTGAGTACGGTGGGACACAAGAGAAATGCCTAGGGGCCGCCCTGCGCCGGAAGAGTGCGAGAGTCCGAGGTGCAAACAGTGGGTAGGACGCAGGGAGGGGCGTGGTCTCATGGGAGGGGTGGAGCTTGAGACCCGCACGCGGAGCGCTGCCTGGGGGCGGGGCTCACCAGGCAAGTGGAACTGGAACTGTGGCTCTTGGGTCCCAGCGGGCCACAGCGGGAGAGGGAGGAGGGGTGACAGAGGGGCGGTCCTAGGGGAAGGCCCCAGCAGCCAAAGAGCCACACTCCGGGACGAGCCTCTCCGGGGCCCCGCCTCCGTCACGTGTGCGCTGTACCGGGTCGGTGCTGGCGGGTCGGCTGGTTGGTTGGCAGTTGGTCCCAAGGCTAGTGGCCTGTCGCTGAGTTCTCGGCTCTTATGTTCTGGAAGGTGAGGGGGACACGGAAGCGACCCGCACACCTGAGCCTCCGGGAGAGAAGCTGCGCTCAGGCATCCAGGTCAGTGAGCTCTTCTGGCCCCGGATCACCGCTATCCCGGGAACTGAGCGCCCCTAGATATAGGAGACACATGAGTAGTTTTGGGGTTCGTGGGCCTTTAGATCTCCGAACGTTTTCAAGACTTTGGGGGATCCGCTTATTTGGCTGGGAGACTGGGAGAAGGGTATAACTCCTGTGGATATGCATGAGTTTCCCACCGCACTCTGCTCCCAATGTGCCACCAGCCTCGCGCTTCTACAGGTGCTAGGGTGGTCCCGGGATAATGGGGTGCTCAGATATCCCAGAGTTCCGGGCGATTATATACCAGCTTGGTGCCCCATGAGAGCAGCAGTGGCGTCAGATGGAAAGCCCAAGGTGGTGAGGAAGTTGAGGACGGTTCACCCAGGTTAATCTCTCTGTTCTATAGAGCCTTGGTCCTCAGCGCCTTGGCCAGGAGCAGTTGTGTACACTAATTGCTAAATTCAACGTGCTTCCCAAAGGCTCAAGGCAGGGAATCGTTGTAGAACGGGATTGGGATGTCAAGATACTTACATTTTAAAAAGTGGGTCCTCCTCCCTCCTTCCATCTCGACTCCAGACCCGTAGTTTTCCTTCCGATGAAAATAAGTTTGTATGTTTAAAGACAAGCACTTTTAAGGTTCAAGTAAGATTCAAATAGGTATTCAACTCTTTCAGAGCATTGAGATATTTGATATGGATCAGTCTTCCTCTTCCATATTTTGGGCTAATTATCTGTCTTCATCTCTCTTGGTCCTGAATTGATTATATTACATATTGAAGTTTTTATAAGATTAACATGTATTTTGTGAAGTTAAATGAACAACTACAGGAAGGAAGTCAACCACAGACCTAATTACCTTTTGTCCTGGATTACTATTGGTATATCAAAAATGTTATCTGATTAGGAATTATTTCTTTCTTCACTTTGGGAGAACCAGCCCATTCATATTCTATTTACATTCATATTTAAATGACTTTAAAGTGGAATATTGTTAAGTCTTTTGCTGTTATTTTTATTTGGGATTTTATTTAATGTTAGTGGTAATGGGCACTGGTGAACTAATTTAGGACCTTGTGAATGCCAGTAAAGCAAATGCTCTACCACTGAGCAACACCTCCCAGCCCTCACATAATATATTAGTGGTATTACTTTGATATTTGATGATGTGCCAATTTTAGTTTATTGCTTCTGGTTGAGACAGGCTCAATGCTACCATGTGTGTTGTGGTAACTAAGGCAGATGTACTATGATTTTAAGAGTAAGTGGATAATGTAAGCAATACATGTAAGAGTGGCAGGAGAAGGCGGGAACAAACTTGCAGAAATCCTAGTTTTTTTCATCAGAAATAGGAAAATCTAGGATAGTTTTAAGAAGGATCAATCTATGTGAGGTGCCTCACAGGAAAGTATCGGGTGGCCTGGCCACGGAAAGGCTTATAAGGCAAACTCAGTCTGGCTCCAAGAAGTAGCTACTGGTCATTCTTGGTTCCTGGCCTGAGTGGTAGACAAAGCAACAACAAACAAACAAAATAACAAACAAACAAAACTGATATCCCAGCTGGCGCCTGAGGCAGGTGGGAGGCCATGGGCATCAACGAATGGGATGTTAAGGAAAGACTGACTTGTGGTCAGCTGAGCTTATCAAAGTTAGAGGCCTTGACCCTTGACCTTCCCAACTCCCAGACTAACAAATCCAGTAAACATTTGTGGAGTGAGTGGTCAGGTGACACTGTAGAGCATCACTCTTCAAACACAAGCCTGAGAATCACGCAGTGCTCTTCAAATGTGGGTCAGGGGTAGAGCCTGACTTCCTGCATGTCTAACCTATCTCTCTCCTGGCTGTATCAAGAATTCAAAGTAGTGATCTACAAACCCCTGCCTGGGGGAGTTTTTCCGAATTATTCTGGTTAAGTAGGCCCAAGGCATTTTTACCGAGTTCCCTAGTAACTGCCAGGTGGGATAAGCCTCGGGACTTGGTAGTGCTTGGAGGACCCCAGCTGGGAGACCAGTTAGGAGACTAGCAGGCCAACTCAGGTCAATGTGATGAGAGTGAAGTGTGAGCCGACAGAAGAGACCCTAGAAGTACTGAGTCTTTAGGACCAGGGCCAAGGAATGGGAGGTATCAGCCCAGTATGCCCCAATCATATTGATTCGGCAGAATTAGACACTAGGAAAAGGAACAATTCTTGGAGAATTCTACTTCAATTTTGGATGCAAGGATTGGTGTGTTGCTCAGACGATAATGGTCAGCAGCTCATTTGTACTTGTCCGTAAGGTCTTTTTTTTTCTCCTGAATTACAAATGTAATCATGATTTGTTCCTGTTTCAAATCCCCTTGTTGAGCTCCTAGGAAAACATATGAGGGGAAGAATGAATGCAAGCACAATAGGTGACTCTTTTTTTTTTTTTTTTTTTTTTTTTTGGTTTTTCGAGACAGGGTTTCTCTGTGTAGCTTTGCGCCTTTCCTGGGACTCACTTGGTAGTCCAGGCTGGCCTCGAACTCACAGAGATCCGCCTGGCTCTGCCTCCCGAGTGCTGGGATTAAAGGCGTGCGCCACCACTGCCCGGCCTACACTTTTAAACATTTATTAAGCCCTACAGATTGTCCGCCGCCATGTAAGACATGACAGTCGTCCCTCAATGTGCCCAACTGCACCCAAACTACAACTAAAGCTCTGGGCTTGGCTTCTCCTGAGTCACTATTTTCCTTGCTTCTTGCTTCCTCCTTCCTCGGAGAAGTTCCACTTCCTTTGCCCTTTGCTATCCCAGTATCTTGTTTTGTTTGTCCTTGAAGGCACCTGTGTGTGTTTATTTTTGGAGTCTAGGAGAGGTGAGCTTTGTTTCTTTATAAAATCTTAA